GTTTGGCTTGGTTTTGGCCAATCGATTGGATCCTTTTTTTATTCTCTGCTGTGGATTAAATCAGCAGGCCTGACATGGTTACAAGCAACCCTTGGAGTCAAATCTTTCGGATGCCTGCCCAAAAAAGCAGGTAAGCAGAGAAAAGAGACACTTATTCCTGCTGTTCCTACCCCAACCAGGCAGGCATATCCCACCTAATCACGATTATTATGGGAATAACACTGTCAAGACTAGACAAGGACATATACGATAGCTTTAAATTTTTCTTAGCAGTCCACAGAAGAAAGGCCCAAAATTGCGAGTTAAAAAACCTCCGAAAACGGCTGGTTTGGAACTTTCTGGCAGCCGTAGCCAGTAGCACTGCAGCAGGCTCTGCCACCGCCGGGCCCTGTGCTGGCCTGCCCAGCCCAGCCCAGCCCAGCCCAGCCCAGCCCAGCCCAGCCGCTGCAGCCGCAGCTGCAGCCCGTGGGACAGGCCCACTGCTGCCGGCTGGGCCCTGCACAGTGCTACGGAAAACAGCACGGACTGGGGAATTCTCTGTGTGGCATTTTGGGATTTTGTGGGCGTCAGCTTTATGACCTAGCTACCAGGGGACCCTCTCGTGGCGTGTCTGCTGCCTGCTTTCCGTGTGATTCTCAAAACGCTCAAAGCCAAAGAGCACCGACTCCCGGCGCTCGGCCCCTCCCTGGCCTTGCTGGTGTGGCAAGAATCTGGGGGGTCTGGGGCCACTCTACCGTGCAGGATCCCTTCCCAAACCCAGACTGCTTTTAACCCCGTCACCCTGGGGATGCAACTCGAGGGCAGAACCTGTCCCAGACACAGGAAGCAGTGCAAATAGCAACGCCTGCCCCTTCGGCCTGGCAAACTGCCCTAGAATGGAACTTGACCCAAGTTACTCAGCTACCCTCTATCCCCTTCTGCCTCCTTTGCTCAGGATCCCTCTTGGATCACCTTCCCTGCTCCTTCACCACTCCAATCTCTCTCCTGTTCATCTGAATGTCCTGCTGTATTACCTGCTAACCACCCTCCTAACGTCCATGCCACCAGAGGCACCATGTTGCCTCAAGCTTCCCCCTTCAACTCCACCCCCACCACTCCTGACTACAACTCCCAGCATGCCTTGGGCCACGCCCCTCCTGGGGACCCAGAGCCACGCCCACCATAATCCTGGGAGCGCTGCTGTCCAACATGGCCGTGCCCATGTCCCCGTGCCAGTAGAACAAGCCATGCCAGAGAACAAGCTCTGCCTTGACCCGTCCAGCAATAACAACACTGCGCTTGCATCCTTCCCCCTCCTCAGAAGAAAACCTAATCCCTTCTAGATCCAACGATTCCATTGATCTATGGCAGAAGGCCCAGACAGTATGGTACAGAAGGGGAAGGGCTGGTCCAACACGGGAACCTCTAGGGAACAGGGAAATACAAAGACTATGTACGGCTGCCAAAAACTATGGAAAGACTTCTCCTTTCTTGAGCAGTCTAATGCAAGCTGCTTTCACTGCATATCTTTTAACCCCTCATGACTTAAAGCACGAGATGCCTGTGCTGCTGTTTCCAGCTGAATTCACCCTGTGGGAAAGCGAGTGGAAGAGATGGTTAAATCAATTGTTGCTTTACAGTGCTGAAGACCAGGCATGGGCAATGCTAACACTAGAACACCTAGCTGGGGAGGGAGCACGTACACAGCCCCACAATCAGGCTGGAAACCTCCCCCAGCCAGTGCTTGGTGATATTAAAAATGCAGCAAGGAAAGCACTCATGCAAATGCCTGATGGAAGCACACCTGCTCCAGACTTTGTAGATATAAAGCAAAAGCCTAGTAAACCATGCATAAAGCTAAAGTTTTGGCTCCCCTTCACCAGAATCACCCACAAGCAATTGTTTATCATTTTATGGATATTATACTTATTGCAGCTGAAAATGATCCATCTTTATGTTCAGCTTTGAAAGCCACCATCACATCCGTCCAACAAGCAGGACTGACCATCACAGAGGAAAAGATACAGCAAACATCACCCTAGAAATATGTGGGACTTAAAATTCTCTCTCAGACTGTTGCAAACTATTAATTGGGTTAAGCCTTTGCTAAAGATCATTAATAAACATTTAGTCCTGTTGTTTGTTTTGTTACAAGCCTTTTTAATTTGGTAACTGATTCTGCTTATTTTACAGGTATCATTGAGAGAGCTGAAAATTCATTCCTACAGACAATTACTAATGATCAGTTATACTCCTTCTTAAAACTTTTTATTCTTTCTCAGAAAGAGCATCCCTATTTTGTCATGCATGTATGTTTTCATTCTTCTTTGCCAAGATTCCTAGCAGAAGGTAATAAACAAACTAACAGACATTGTCACTGCATGCCCTGACTGCCAAAAATATTCTCTGCTGTCAATTGAGGCAGGAGTAAATCCTAGAGAGCTTCACAGTTTACAGATTTGGCAAAGCAATGTGACCCATTATGTGTCTTTTGGTTGCTTTAAATGTATACATGTTTCTGTAGACAGATTCTCAGGAGCAATCTGTGCCTCTGCTCACAAGCTGAAACAGCAAAAGATGTTATTAAACATTTCCTACAAGCATTTTCAACTATAGGCATCCCACAAAAAATAAAACTAGATCATGGGCCTGCCTATGTCTTTTACCCCTTGTCCCATGTCTTCACTTGTAGCTGTTTATTCTCACATCTTTGAGGCACATATGTCAGCATTGGTCAAATTTTATTCATCAAGAAAAGTTACTTATTTAACATTGGAACTATTGCCTTATTCCTTAGCAGAACCTTATACAGTAATATTTAATCTGCCCATCAGACAAATGAGTTCAAATACCCAGAGCTTAACACAATCTTTTCAGTGGTGCCAACATAAACAATCTGGATGCAGATTTTTCCCCCCCAGAGAGATATTTTGTCAAAAGCAGCAGAAATTCGTGGTGTTCTCCACAATCCTTGGACACTGTGGCAGGGAAACACTGACCACTTGTAAACCATCCTTAATCACTTAGGAAGATGTTTCTCCTTTCTCAGTCTGCTCTAATTCTCTGATTTAGCTGTAACTTGCATATTTTGGAGCATTACAATGACAAAATCTACACAATAGCTTCTGAGAGAAAGAGGAGGGACATGATATTTAGGGAAATGATATTCAAGACTGATAAGATGAAACACATTTGGAGTTTGGGATTCCCAAGTGCTCTACAACAACTTCTGCCAAGAAGACTGTGAGAACCTTCAAGTTTTTAGCACTTTCTCACCTGCAAATGTAGAGGTGAAAATGAAGACAGAAAATTGAGGAAAAGACCCAGTAATGGCAAAGTTCTCAGAATGAGAAGTGAGAATCAAAAATGATTATTCCTGATTTAATACTATTTGCTTTGCTCAGTGATCGTCAACACAAAGAGTGCAGATAAATAACATTTTCCTCACCTTTCTGCTGTGGACAGGAGAGATCAGGAGCTGCTGGGGGAGATCCTCTTCATTCATTCACTCACCTGTTAGGACATGTTTCCCAGAAGAGGCACTGTAAGGATCAGCTGTTCCCTGGACATGTGAAACCTGGGCACTCCTTAAAAAAGGTTTTGCAGTGAAACTCTTCTGACTTTATTGCTTACCTCTTCTGGAGTAATGAGAAGAGAACGGGGCACAAAACAGACCGAGCAGCAGAACTCTTTCTGTTCTGGAGTAACTTTTTTTCTTGTAATCATTTACACCATTGTTAATTGTGCGTAATTTGCACCTTAACCTAAAGCACTTTTTCCTCCAGTTTAACCATTTAAGTACGTCACAAATTCATCATGATGAAGAGAAGCATTAAAAAGAAATGCATTTTTCCTTTGACTCTGAAAGAATTTGAGAACATTACAGTGGTAGGTTTTGGATGTTAATTAATTACTGATACCCACCTCAGGACAAACATATCTTCTTATTAATTTCTCATTTATTTGTAATTTTCAAAGCCTTGTAGTTTCACCCATTTTTTTTAAGAAAGACGTTTTTACAAATTGTAGTAAAAAAAATTAGACCTCTGTATGCATCTGAGTCTTTCTCCCATTCCACACTTTGAATCACTTCCTTCTGAAAATCTGTAGGTTGAAGGCAAAAGTGGTTCAAATACCACATATCCTCAAGAATGTTTTCTCCTTTTTCTTCTGCAGTTTGTTTTTCCTGATGTTCTCGTTCTGCTCTGGGTCACGACAACCTTCTCTGTGTCTTGTGTTATGGCTGGTACACACGATGGAGAGTTTCTCTCCTTGTTTTCCAGATCACTCTTGCTCTTTTTATACCTTTGCCCACTCTTTGTTCTTTAGAACCTTTCTCTGGATTTTCCCAGTAGCTGTCTTTGGCAGATCCTGAACAAACTCCACCTGAAAGGCAAAAATGCTCCCTGTAGCCAAATAACTTGTGGATAATTTCCCAAGTGCAACAAAAGATTGGGAAAACACTTTTAGCATGGAATAGCTGGGGATAAACAGATGGGAAACTGCATAACCAGGGCTGGAATGGTGAAATTCCTTACTACACCTTGTAGCTACTGCACAGACAGTACTTGCAGGGAGATGTACCATGATCTCTAGGAGCTGAGTGCTTTCAGGACAGGGAGTTACTGGTGTCTTTCCTAGTGGGAAGAGATGGATTCCAACCCACTCATGCTAGCAGGAACTTTTGATTTAGCTGTCTGTCAGAGGAGAGCTCAAGGTAGACCTGGTTAGAATGGAACGCCTTGCCCACTTGAGCTGCTGTGAAAAGCCCAGTACTCCATGAAAGAAAGACTGGGCCCTCATGAACTAAAATCTCATGACCATTGCCTCCCCCCACGTCCATTCTAGCACAACACAGCCAACCCAAGGCTACAGCTGCAACAGACCCTGGCATCTACTTTTATTTTATCTAATTCTGGTTGGAGTGTTTTCAGAAAGCTGTTGAAAAAGAGCTGAGGCAGGAGAAAAAATGCACAATTTCTGGTACAATGAGAGAGCCTGTCTTTTTGGGCTGTGCTTACCTTCCTTGGATATTTGTATGGTGCAGTCACCTTCTTGACATGTTGTTGAAGTTCAAGAGTTAATTTTTTTTGATCATGTGATACAAAAGCAGGAGCTAAAACAATGAAGGCTTTGACCACCTGTGCCACAAAAATGAAGGGGTTCCATTAACTTCCAGAGCTGGCAATAAAATAATATATTTGTTGTGAAAAGCTAGTGTCAAAATTCAGAATGCCAAAATTTGATCTTTTTCTTTAATTTCCCTTTTTATTAGCTGTTTGTTATCAACTGCTGTGCTATGAAGGACCCATTCTGGAGCAGAGAATGTGTTGATATTTTCCACTTTATACATTATTAAACTTTCAATAAGTTGTAGTACAGAAAATAAAGAGAGATTAAAATTTTGTTCCAGTTGCTCAAAGAAATGTTGCAAAGTTGGAAAAACATAAATCAAAAATTCAACACTCTGGTTATCATTGCCACCATATGCTTAGTGGTAAATGTGAAATAACCAAAATTTCACTGCTTAGACAAAAAGATCACATGACTGGTCTGAAAAATCACATTTTTTTCCCCACATAAAACCCTGCAAAGAAATAATTCGGAAATTGTAACATCTATCAAGGTATGGATTTTAAAAATGTTTATGCCCGCCTAATTTCAAAAGTCTGCAACACTGAATTCCAAGGAAGCCAAGTACATACAAGGAAGTTGATACTTAGTAGAAAGCGTATTTCTTTTACATTTTTTTCCTAGTTTGTTTTACCTCCCCTCGCTCTGGGTCGGGACTGCTGACAACAGCCACCTCTGCGACTGCTGGGTGCTCTATCAATGCACTCTCCACTTCAAAGGGGCCAATGCGATACCTGGGGAGCACACAGACACCTCAGCCAGCAGCAAGGACCAGTCCTTTGGGCTTTCCAGGCTGCATTTCATGAGGCAGATCTAAAAGGAAATGCCTTACCCAGCAGAGTTAATGATATCATCAGCTCTTCCAACAAACCAGATATATCCCTCTTCATCCATAACGCCTCTGTCCCCGGTGACATAAAAATCTCCTCGCACAGAGGCAGCAGTTTTCTCTGGATTATCCTGGCAACAGTCAAACATTTCCAGAAAAGTATCTTATTGTTAGTGAATTGCAATGCTTTTCCTTAGCAGTGATGCAAAAAAATGAACAAAAAATTGTACTCAAAATGAGTGTGTTCAATACTGCTTTATATTTTCACTGAGGTGTCACTACCTCAGAGCCACATGATCATCTCCTTGTGAGGGGTTTGTGCTGTAGCTTGTGTTTGTGCTGTTGATCTTGTGCACATGTGTACAGATGTGTGTGACAGGCATCTGTACTAAGGTTTTTCTGACTGCTGTGCCTTATGGAATGGGGGTACCTCTGACAGTGGTATGAGGGAATAAAAGACCTTGGAAAGCCTCCCTGAGCTTCTGATGTGTAAGAGTAGAATTTATGGGCTTTCTACAATAACATTTAACCAAAGATAGGAATGGAACGGAGGGAAAAGCGATGCTCTGAACATGAAGTAGATGGCACATATCTGGAACGAGGTATCCCCTGGTTCTTGTTGCATTTTGAAGCTACACTCTGTCAGTCAGTCTATTCCTGAAACCACACACTGATCAGGCTCAAAGTCCTGAAGTAACGCAGTGAGACTTTCTGAGGATCCTGCATGGAATTCTGCTCCTGGCAGACCTTTGCCCTGGGTCTCTCCTGAGCCCCTCAGCAGACACAGACACAGCAAGTCAGGCTCACCAAGTACTCAGAGAACAGGCAGAAGGGTCGTGTGGGTTTCACTCGGATAGCAATGGTGCCCTCTTCTCCTTTAGGCACAACAGCCCCATGGTCATCTACGATCTGCAGAAAGGACAGACACAGCAGGAGTGCTTTGATCAGCTCAGAGCAACATCTGCTGCAGCTCAGTGCAGGGCACAGAAGGGACACAGACAGCACTGCCTTACTGTTCTACCCACAACTGCCTCATACCTGCACATCATAAGGGGGAACAGCTTTTCCCAAAGAGCCAGGTTTAATTTTCATTCCTTTCATATTGGCACAGATTGTCACCTGCAGAATAGATTTTTTAAAGATTTTTTTAAAAATTTGTTGCAACATCTTGCAGATTTTATTTGTGTTTCCATTAGACAGGACTCCTCTTTGTGACTCTGTTTTGACAAGGGCTGAATCAGGACCAAAGCACTGTGGTTCTCAAGAACATCAGAGTCTGGGATGAGAGCTGCTTTAATATTTTTCATTAAAACCTCACACAGGACAAATTGATACCCAGAGCAAATAATCTATTTTAGTTTTGCTTTTGAAGTAACAATGGTGAAGGGTTTCACTACCAGTAATTACATTTATTGTAAACGTACTGTTTCAGTCTGGCCATAACCTTCATGGATATCCACCCCTGTCTGGATTTTCCACTTCGCCAACACTTCAGGATTGAGTGCTTCCCCTCCAGTTACACAGTGCTTCAGACTCGGGAACTTGTAGCTTGAGAGGAAGAGCAAATGAAATAATTTTCTTAACTCTTGCAAAGAGCAGTAAATAAATTTAACCAAACAGCCTCCTTCAGCTTTCCAAAAAGGAAGGACACCAAAAACTTCACAAGCTCCTTTGGAAATGACAATCTTCATCCTGTTATGCACACCTTGACTAGAATCCTAGTCTGCTTGTGTTGCTAGTGAAGATGATGTGGTTTATCTCTGTGTCAATAGAAGTACGTTTTTCTACTGAAAAATGCATGAGCAAAAGTGTTTCCTTGGGAGAGCAGACATAAAAGGAGGAATCTGAACAAGCACATCAGATGTGTGTGGAAAGCTCAGTTATGTGCCAACATCTAAGGTCAGGTATAACACAGAGGATTTTCTAGATCAAAAGGAAGGATGAACAGATATACAGAAGCTGAGCTCTGCTAAACCTGGGTTGGCTTTTGGCAGGATGAAAACCTATGTGACCAGAGTCTAGAAAAATAGGAAGTTATTGTGCTGAAAACCTTGTGAATATGCAGGTGATTAACCAAAAAGGCCAGTTTGAGGGGTATCAATCAGCTGATTGGTTTAAAGTGCCTTAAGGGAGGAATAGGCACTCTGGCAACTCACTGAAAATTCAGGAAAACAGAGCCTTAATTCAGGTTTATGCCATATTCTGAATACTGGCCCATAGTCAGCCTGACCCCAAAGCAGCTGGAAGTCCATACCTGAAGTAAGGTTTAGGTTCAATATTGGACTATACAGCAGTGATCCCAAGATCTTTATATCTTGCATCTTTATCCAGTTGTGCTCTACACTCGAACAATGACGCATGGCCTAACCAGGAGGGAAAACACTTGTTCCTTGGGCTTAATGGGCACCAAATGGAGGGATGATTCCTTGGGATGTGGGAAGTACTATCCCTGCTGCTACTAATCAATGGCACCCGTGGACTGGAACTCAGTTTGTTTTCTTCACTTTTGTAAAATGGAAATAAATATCACAGTATAAAATGTTAAGCTTACCTCTGCAATAACTTCTGGTTTAAACTGTGGCATGTTGTGTACAAAGACACAGGATCCACAGATCCATGGTGAAAAAACACTGCTCCAAGCTGCTTTTACCCAGCCAGTATCAGAGGTATTCCACAATATATCTGAAGGAGTCAAGTTCAACCAATACCTGATGAAAAAGGAGAGATGAAAGAAATGCTGCAGAGAATGTGAGAGACTCAGGCCCAGGTCACAGCAGGAGGCTTCCATTAGAAGATGTGGTGTCAGCAAGTGGGGCTCTGTAGAAAATTTGAGAGAGTTGAAGGGTCTTAAATATTCTCTGATTTCCCTTCCTTCCCTCCTGCTTAATATTTCAAGCATTTATTTTTCTTGTGAGCAGTGCAAAACATCTTTATCTTGAGTTGCAGAATCTGGATCTAGAGCAGATCCCAAACAGATCATCTGGAGTAGGCTTTCCCTACCTGGTGCAGTTGAGACATCAGCTAAGTCACAGCTCATTTCTCCAGAAAACTAAACAAGTTACTTCTCTGGACCCTTGATCACCAGCTTCCAACCCAGAATGCTTTGGGAAAGGTATCCTTTAACTTTCAAGATGAGCAAGATGCAAGATCCTACAGTCATGAAATGCCTACATTTACTGGAATGTTACGGTCTCAGGTTCAGTTTAATGCTGATCACAGCACTTAGTCAGGATCCTGGGAGGAACTGCAAGGTAATACCTGCCACTGACTGCAAATCCAATGCCGTAACTGCTGTGGGAATGCAGCACCATTTTTGGGAAGCCCGTAGTTCCACTGGTAAAATACACGAGCATTGGGTCTTGACTCCTTGTCTTGATACATATATGGTCAGCAGATGCAACCCTTGAGAAGAAATGGTATATTCCAGTCACTACATGCAGTTTTCCACCAGGGCAACAGCATTTTTGTAGTTTATGAGTTCAACAGAAAAATTGCCCCAAAGTTACCACTAAATAAGTGGTAACACAGGTAAGAACAGTTAGAGAACACATTTTGCTTGTAACGAGTGTGCCCTGTATGCCAGAACTTTTAAGATATGAGCACCTACAGAATATTTCAGTGACTTTGTCCTCAACTGAATGATCTCACTAAATAAGTGGTAACACAGGTAAGAACAGTTAGAGAACACATTTTGCTTGTAATAAGCGTGCCCTGTATGCCCGGACTTTTATGATATGAGCACCTACAGAATATTTCAGTGACTTTGTCCTCAACTCGCTGTTTTTTTTCCATCCTACAACATGTGAGAAGATATTAAAATACGACAAACTTTAAAAGGCTTCACTTATATAAATCATCCTTGGCAACTCCTCTCCTGTAGTGATACCCATCTTCCTGACAAACAAAATAAAATGTTGTCCATACTGTCCAGTACCATTAACAAAATTGTATCATTTCAGATTTGTTCCACCATGTCCTGGTTTTGACTGGGATAGAGTAAGCACTGCTTAGCAACAACTATGTCAAGGACTTTCCAGTTTTTCACACTCTGCCAACAAGTTGGTGCATGAAAAGCTGGGAGAGATCGTAGACAGGACAGCTGACCTGAACTGTCCAAAGGGATATTCCAGCCACAAGAGGTCCTGCTCAGTTGATTCCCTGGTGGGAAGTTGGTCGAGAGGTGCCAGTCACTGTTTGGGGACAGCCCAGGTGTCGATCAGTGGGCAGTGGGCAATTGTGTTGTGCATAATTCATCTTTTCTGGGTTTTCCTTGTTCCTCTCTGTTTTTTTGTTATCTCCCATTTCATCACTACTATTTCTATTAATACTTCTACAATAGTGATAATTATTATTAATATTCTTTTTATTACTATATTTTATTTCAGTTATTAAACTGTTTGTTCCCAACCCATAGGTTTTTACCTTTTTTCTCGCCTGTTTCTCCTCCCCATCCCACTGGATGTGTGTGTTTGTGTGTGTGAGATCCAGGGGCTCTGTGGTTCTTAGTTGACAGCTGGGGTTAAGCTACAGCTCAATGTCTATAAAATAAAAGACAAATACTACCTTTTCCAGTCGTGCCCACTCATCTAAGACATCACTTGCAAAGTTGAAATATTCTGGCAGTTCCTTTTTACCCTGGTTTATAGATTCGTAATGGGAAGTAATCTGAGATGCAAGAAGCCTGTTGTTTCCATGGAATGTTCTGGAAGGTGACCTGAGAATCCACAAACACTGAGGAATCCAGGATTTAAGAAATGTTCTCATGATAAATGATGTTTTATCAGATGGTGAGGGGAAGGAATCAGGTGTACACCTAAGGAATCAGTCACCTGGAATGAAAGAAAATACGTTTAAAACCAGACAGTTATTGGATGCTGTCTAGTTTCTGATGCTGGATGAATTGATGCAAACCAGCTTGAATAAATAGGTTTTTTGAACACATCCGTGTTTTCCCTATTATTTTATGTTGCTCCTTTACTTGTAAAGGGATTGTGCACTGCTTTTCATTAGAATATTTGTCCTCTACTTTGTCAGCTGATGAATGACCCTCATATCTCATCTCTAAAATTTCACTTGCCATTCCTTTTCTCAATATCGATGTCTGGATTCCTGTAAATTTTATGTTACTTTGCCTGCTTACAGAAATAAAATACCAGTACTTTTGAAGGGTTTTAGGAGACTCTCACCTTGACTTAAAACTGTCTCTGTAATTATGTTATGCCCTAAACCTGCACTAGATGGCGAGTCAACTGAATTTATGCACCAATAAAACTGATGAATCTCTGATTTATTTTCTTATGAGTTCTATTTTCTTTGAGGGCATGGAATAAACAGAAAATAGACAGTAGGTGAGCAAAGGTGAAGTGCCAAAGACTTCCATTTGCTTTGCACTTCAGCTGAAGTGTGCAGCTTGGGAAAAGATACATGTTGTAAAATAAACTTGCAAAGAAAGTGCCAACATTTCCAGTTTCTCCTAGTCTTTCCTACACAACATACAGGTCCATATGGAAGAGACAGAATGGATAATGCCACAGGTATTTAAAGCCCAGCGCTGAAAGTCAAGAAAACTGGATTTTCACTCACAGGAGCTGAATCATCAGATAAACTTGTTTTGAGTGTAATTAAGTCCTTAAGGATGTACCCATATATCTAAGGGATTTTTTACCCAATTCTATGAAATCAGCTTTGCTTTTAAACTTTTTTGTACCATGATGTTGTCCTTATTTAACAGCCAGCAGTACATACCTGTCTCCTAGGGATTCTATGCAGTTTCTCTCACCTTTGCATTATTTATTGCAAGTGTAGGTGTAGTGAGAGCTTCCAGTGCTCAATGCCAATAAATAACAGTAACTGGCATCACTCTGAAATCACTGTATTTTTGAGGCAAACCAGAGAAATTGAGACAGAAGGTGCACATGTCAGGCACATCTCAATACCTCTTGGCCAATTATTTGACAGGGTGTGAGTGGTAACGAAGCAGAAGGCTCTAGAATATTATTGATCTGGATCCAGTGATTTCTGCTGACTGGACTGACTTCTCTAGGGGGCAGATTTTCCACATTTCTCAAACTACAAAGCACAAAAAGAAAGCCAAAGCTAGCTAGCACTGGTGGAGAAATGCACAGAATGTGATCTTATCTGCTCTGTGTCTAACAGAGAACATTGTTCTCCACCAGTTCAGTTCCACTAAATCTCACTCCTTTCCTCATTGCAAATCTGTCCTGGCAGGGTGGACTGTTGCATGATCCTCCTTTTTCTGCAGTTTCCTTTCAGTACATAGAGGTTACAAACCCTTTCCATGATGGAGCCTATTTCCTGGTAGGAGGTTTCTAGGAGGGATTTAAGTTGATGACTATTTGTTTTAGTGACAGACGGGAAAACCAGCTCTCTCAGCAAATGGTTTTGTCATCCTACCTTTGTTCTGGGAGCCTTAGGCTGTGCTCTGAGCTCAAACACTGCCTGCCCAGCTCAAACAGGTCTTGTTAGTTTAAACCTGCAGTTCTGAGAGATGCTTTTTAACCTTACTAGTATGTTACTTGAAAGACATCTTTGAAAAAGAGCTGTTGTGAAGAGAAAGAGACCACAAAGTCAAATGGGAGAACCTTATCTTTCTGCTTCTTTTTCTCCTTTAGTACCTGATTGCTGAATCTGTATTTGTGTGTGATCTTATCTTGCCAGCAGCCTGAACACACAGCTCCTGATTTCATTAGGCACGCTCTGCAAGTACTAATGGAGCACATCTCAAGGTGCATTACAACACAAAGCTTTGGAGCCTGGTAGAAAAGAGTTTGTTGGAAACCCAGCCCCACTCACAGCAGGCATGAAAACAGAATAAATTGCAGCAATATGCCCCCCAAGATCCTTCACCCACAGAAAATGGAGGCTACCACATCAACCCCCATTGTGAACATTCCTTCTTTTTAGTGGTGCCCTCCTGAATAAAAAGTCTGCTAAAGGCACAAGGTGCAAAGAATCACTTGCTACTCCTCAAGGAGTCATTATTGAAGGAATTTCTTCTTGATTTTACTAATCCAGACCCACCTGTTGCTAAGTCAGCTCTGTCCTTCATGCCACTGAAATACTCTGTCCTTTGTGCCTGGTCTCCTCTATCAGCTACAGCTTTGGGGGTAAAGTTCACAAATTTCATCAGAGTTTAAGGGTCAGAGATATTTCTGCTACAGCTACAGACTGGCAGGTGTTTACAGAAATAATTCCATAGTAATTGAAGGAATTGCAGAATCTCAATATTTCTGTAAGATATATTTTTAAATGTTCTGAAAGGGCTGTCTTGGGAGGCCTCATAGTTCACATGCACAGCTGATAACAATCCTAAGAATGAATTGGCACATTTAGCCCCTTCCATTTATTGCACAGAAAACTCTGTGACCACTGAAAATCAATTGCAAAATCTTCTGGTTTATCTTACTTGAGCTACAACTTGGCACTTAAGTACAGAGGGGAGCCTCACAGACAAGACATCAAAGAGTTACAGACATTAAAATTACCTGTTCAAAGAAATGAGTTTTCCCCTGACTTCAACACACTCTCAGCCCCACAATTAGTAGATCCATAAGTGCAAGAGACAAGCAAACATGAGGCAGAGGAGCAGCCCTCAAATACTGTCCCAGGTACCTGAGCTGCTGCTTTGTCTGCAGCCCTGACAAGAGAGGGGTGTCTAATTACAGCAGCACACTTGGAATCCACTGGTGCTTCTGTAGGCAGGTGTTTCCTCCTGTGCTCTCTCACCTTCTCCCTGGGTTGTTTATTTTCAGACACAGTAAACCCAACTTCCCCATACTTCTTCCCAACTTCTCCACCCCCCCAACAACTACTAAAGATGGGGAAGTACTTAGCTAATTTAATATTCCCATGGAAAGGTGCAGTTGGCTCCACTGGTAGTGGACTTATCAACATTATCAGCCTCTTGGTTTGGCTGATACAGCTGCAGACGTTTGAGCAGCAAACCCTACTGCTTAATGCTCCTTTGTTCCTTTCTTTCTTTCTCAGTATCTGGATAAAGGCAGGACAAGATGAGGACACATCCATTTTCCCTTCTTCTATTGTTGTTTCTCACAGGCTTCCTGGCAGCAGACAGCATAAGCCCAAATGAAGCAAAGCTAAAGAAAACCAAGCTCCCCAAAATAAAGAAGGAGAACCACGTCCTCTTGCTGAAAAAGAGCAACTTTGACAGAGCATTGAAGGAAACCAAATACCTCCTGGTGAAGTTCTGTGAGTATCAATTTCCCCTCCCTTACCCTGGTGGCTCTGCAGAGAATGATTGATGTTGGGGCACTCAAGAATGCTTGTTTTACCATTGCTTTGTCCCCTAGTAGTCCTTGTTTGTTTTGGTTTCCTCTATGTATCTATTTCTGATCGTAACTACAGCAATTTATCCTTTTTTGGGGTGGTTAAATACCAGTCTGCTACATAAGACAGTGCTGAGTTGGCATTCTTTGCTTCCACTGCCTAATTTTGCAAGTGTGTGTTTCACAGCAGTGATGGGTAAAACATATTAAAAAAAAAAACCCAACCAAACAAAAGTTAATCAGAGAGTGCTTTTCTCCCTCTTGCATTTTCATCAGCACTTTGTATGAGATTTTTTTGGATGGCATCTCTCCTCTGCAAGCACTTGGGCTTCAGGGATTCTCTTTTTACAATATTTTGATATCTGTAGTTACATTATATTGTTATTTTTCCTTGAAAGGAGCGCTGCACAAAACTGGTGGGGTTTTTGAATAACTAACTTTGTTATAAGGTCTGGCCACCAAGTAGATCACAAAGGCAAAAGCCAAGAGGCAGATCCTTGTGATGTTACCCATCTAAAAGTTCAGATGCTGCATAATTTCCAGTGCCCCAAACAGGGATCTGCACTGGCCAGCAGCTTGCTGGTAGCAGAAGCCCTTTGATCAGCATAAGACAGAGAAATCTTTGTCTCTGTTGCTTGGGCTTGACCTTGCTCTGCTGAGCCAAACTCCCTGAGCTCAGTGCACACGTTCCCTTAACCTTAAATTACACAAACACTTGCTAACCAGACCCCCTTTGGAAGCAGGTGCCAGACACAGGTACAAGCTGAACCCCCAGACTGTTCCATATTTGGAAGGGATATTCAAAATTAAGGCAATATCCTAATTTTGCAGAAGTGCATCAAATTTGTCCTTTTGCATCACTACCAAATGTGAATTTTACTCCTGGTAATAGAATATAATAGAATATAATAGCAATAATAACATATTATATAAAATAAAATATTCAATATTGATATGAATATATAATAATATATACAGTATAATAGTATAGCAATAAACAATGAAACGGATCATAACATAAAGAATATATTGAAGACAATAAAAGATAATAATAAATAGATTATAATAGTAATAGGTATTAAAAATAATAAAATATATAATGATAATAATGATAATGATAATAATAATAATGTAGTGTAGGTCAACCTGAAATGAAAATACTTGTATTTTCAACAACAAAATCTAAAATACACTAAAAGACCCAGGAAACTAAAAATATGTTTGGGTCATACCAAACATTTCATTAATCCTGAAACAAGGTTATAAAACTTCAAGTATTTTTAATCTTTCAGAATAATCACTTTAGAAAATTATTTAAAACAGAGTGTTTAAAATTTTTAGATACTTCTGAAAGTGTTGAAATTTAGGAAGATTTTGTTTACTAATTGTGGAGGATTTAAAGCTATTTGCCAAATTCAATCTGCAGTTGTGTACTGTTTTATTTCTCTGAAGATGCATCATTTTGGTGAAAAAATAACTTCTCAGAAAAAACCTTAGTCATTCTGCATTGTCACCTTTGTAAGAGCTGTTTCAAAGCACAGGATCTAAGTGACCAGGTCAGAGGAGAGTTTGTAAACAAACTTTCTTAGTACTGGCAGAGATTATCAACAGGGAGACATTGCAACACACTTCAGGATTGAAACCAAGTATGAGTGGAAAACAGACATGAAAAAATTCAGAAAGAGACAGGAGATGGAGAAAGAATTGTTCAGAATAGAGTAGCCCAGGGGCTTGGGCACTGCAAGCATGTGGGGTGTAAGCCAGGCTTCCTTGCCCCTTCTTCAGAGCAGAGTCTTGGAGCTCTCTGATCTCCCACACCCTCACACCTGGCTTCTTCAGAAGGGAAGGACAAACAGTCTCTTCCCTTCCCCACCACATCTTCCAAAACACAGAGGTGAAGCTCTGCTCCCCAAACACACCTTGCTCCAGTGATCCTCATCACTCTCTGGCCAACATGTCAGTCCAAGGCCTTACTGAAAACCCATGGGTTGCCTTTCCCCCACAGCCATAAAGGCATCCACAGTCCCTGGAAAGAATTATGGAATCACTCCCAGGAGGGATGAGCTCCACAGCACCGATCCATTATCTGGAAATCACTGGCCTCAATCCCTATAGCTCCCTTTGGAGACATGCCACTGAAGAGCCTCTGGGGCAGTGACAAACTATCCTGCAGTGAGGCACTGCCCTGGGCCGTAGGAAACCTGACTCCACAATGCTGAATGAGCTGACTCATTTGCTGTAATAATTTCATTGCCACGGCACAAGGAGACTAAAGATGGGACCTGCACAGAAAAGCCATAAAGCTCATATCTGTTATATCCTACTTCTAAAAAGTCTATCTAAATAAACAACCTGTGTTAACAAGGAGCTATTAAAGAAACTTGGGTAATCTGAGAGAAAACAGTATTGCCCAGATCACCCAGGAAATCTGTGAGGCTGCCAGGAATTAGCTTCAAAAATCCAGAATGAATGTGAGACCTGAGATCTTTGTCTTCCTGACTCATTAGAGATCACAGAGAGTGGGAAGGAATCCCATCCTTCCCAGAAGATGGGATTTTTTCTGGTGCTGCACCAATTCCAGAAAAGTTTGAGCTACAAACTTTCATTCAAGACTGTGCCTTAGACCTCTCAGTTATAAGAAAACCCCAATGCTTTCCCTGTTGTATAATATTATTTACTTACCAGTCCCACAGTATTTGTCAGGTGAGGTCAGCTTTGATGTTTTCTACCCAGTGACTTTCAAGCCTTTGTAATACCTGTCAGTTCCATCCTGACAGTGTCCCAGGTCTGCCTTCCTTCAGGAAGGGTTACTATAAATACATGCTGACTTTCAGCCAGGCAATGTACAGATCCCTCTGGAGCTGGGCAAAGTTCACAGGGCAAATACTCAGTGTGAGAGCAAAGCACTGACCCAGGAACCCAGCGCTCCTCCTCTCTCATCCCAGCTGTTCTGTGCCACAAGACATGTCTGAGAATGATGCAAGCATCACCAGCAATGTGTGCACCTCATCTCAGCACTCATTTGGAAGTGCTCTTCTGCTGCAGGCTGTAGCATCTCCCAATCCACGTTAAACTGATCTAAATTCCACACAAATGCTTATTAGCACAGGGAATTCAGAGCACTTGTCACCAGCAGAAGGCAGACCTTAGATCAGTGCTGCCTGCATGGGAGAGTTTCAGTGTTTACACTACACACTGCCTGAATATAATCCCTCTGTTGACTTTCACTGCAGAGAAAAGCAAATAAGCACCATAAAAAGTCTCAATCACTCTAACAAATATGCCTACCACAGAGAGAATAAAGTTTGTACACTTACTAAAAGCACAGCCTTCAGAGCACATGCTAACACCATTTCTTCCAACTTATCAGAAGAATTCATGGAAAGACACAGACCCCAGGGAATGCTTGATTCCACAGGCTTCTGAGAATGCCTGCTGCTGTTCTTTCCAGTGAAAAGTTTTCAGATCCTAGATAAACATGGGGATAATGTAAAGACAAGCACACAAGTGGTGCAGACATTGTGCTGCTGCTTTGTGTGCTAAGCACGCTCTCATTTATGAGAAGGTGATGTTTACCTTTTCTAGCAGAACATTTGTACATCTAGTGAGGCATTGGGTCAGCCACAGTATTCCTGCAACCTGTGACTGAGATAATGACATTTAATAGGCAAGATGAGGATTACTCTTGAAGACAAACATCTCCTTTTTAAGGCACAAAAGCTGAAGGTGATGTTATTAAGAAGAAATTGCAGTTACCTGCAGCAGAGTTACTTACTAGCATGGGTCCCTCATGTAGGTGTCTCTCACACACTTATCTTAGTGAATGCTTGCAATAATCCAAACTTAGAATAAACCCTGATGTTTACAGAGAAGGAAATCTCAAATGAGCTGCAAACCTCAGTTAAGAAGTAGAGAGGTCAGCACAGGAGGTTATGGCTGTGTCTCACTCTAGAAGAGAAGGGGAGAATTGAAGGTCACACAAGCAAGCTTGCAACTGCAACGAGATCAACATCCTTCTACTCTGATACATTAAACATTAATCTATCCTTCATCTCAAGACTCTTCTACAGGGAAATTTATTTATCTGTAGTGCAACCGTAAAAGCAGTCTGCACAGATGAGAAATGGGACTGCTGAAATGGTTTTGTGACCATGTCAGAAACTAACAGCCAGGAAATCAGTATCTGGCAGGACAACAGGCACATTCACAATGACTGCTGCAATCCCTAAAGCATCAATTCAGACAGAATAATGAGATTGGAGGACACCAGCAATTAGCTAAAGGAAAATTAACTCATTGTGCTTCTAAGTACACCCACTTCAAGAATTCTTTAGGGTCATTAAACACATTCATGTGTCAGCAAAAGATTTATCTGTCCACATTTCAATATATTGTAGCTCAGTAAACTGCACCATGAAAAAGGAGTAGCAGCTTACTCAGGTTGTCTATGTACTGAAGAGATAAGACTCAAAATACAGGATTTCTGGTTCTCTTCCCACTTTTAATTTTCAAACCCTTACTTTATCCTTGTTTTTATGTACAACCCAGCTAAAACTACTGATATGGAAACATTCTCCCATGTTAATACGATGAGCTGACAGCCTTTGAAGGGCCTCTTGCTTCTGGCAGCTGTGGCACAGCACACTGGTTTACACAGGTGTCCTGCCACCCACACTGCCTTCCCTGGTGACCTTGCCACCAGCTCTGCTGCCTCTTCTCCGTGTCTGCTCTTGTTCCCTGCTGATGCTCCTCAAGTTTGGAGCCTGTGATGCCACATTAGCCCCAGCAGCTGCTTCCTCATCCCACGGCCTGAAGTGATCGGTGTCAATAAAAATCTAAACCAGAGGAAGCGAAACAAAACTCAAGAAAAGGCTCCAAATAAAAGGAGTGATGATTTCCTGCAACACTCAAACGACTTGAAAGATAAAGCACCTGGGAGGCGAACAGAGAATGAGTGGAATGAAAAGGAATTGATGGAGAGCTGAAGAGGAGTCTAATCACTCAGGAAAGCAGGGGAAAGGTGCATGATGGATGTTTCCACATGATTCTGGGTAGTCAAGGAAACAGTTTTTATCTGTCTGTTCACTCACTGAACTTGTGCTCACAGTTAGCAGGTTAATGGTACTTAAAGTTCTCCTGTCTCAGACTGATGGAGGCATGCACTTCTCCCAGCTGCAGCACGGAGCTACTAACTCTACCAGCTCTCATTATCTAAGCATGCTGCTTGCATTCCCAGTTAGCTGCAACTCTGAATACTCAGGTCATTCAGTGATAAGAGACCATTCCTAGAATATCTGTTTGGAATTAAAATATTTCAGAGAAAAATGGATCCTACACTCTCTTCCCCCCAGACAATCTACCTAAACGTCTAATGTCTAAGCTTAATATTTCTTTTATGTTTGTGAAACTTCAGCTTCTATTTCTGGAATTCACCAACAGTTTGTTCTGCCCCTTCTTATTTCACTGTGCAAAAAACATTTCAGCTTCCACTTTCCCAGTTGTGGTAAAACAGCTGTGCAACCTTAGGTTAATAGGAAAAAAAAATTATATTGAAATTGTCTCTGGTGTAAAACACTGACTGGGAATTAGTTGCAAGCTTCTGGATCCTGGTTTGCTATGGGGTTTCCTGCTCCAGCTACACTCTGTCCAGAGCCACACACCCTCCCTCTTGGAAAGCCCAGTAAGTGTTCTGGGCTAGCCCTGCCACCTGCAATCTCTGTGTATCAGCACTCTCAAATTGCATTGCAAGTACTCCATGGCTTATTGAATAGTCCACCTTTGCAATCATTTTCAGCAAAAAAAAAAATCATAAAGGCTCAACACTCAGTGTCCCTAGAAGCAGCAGTATTTTTATAGGGTGGACATGCAATTTCTTACATTGACAGGTCAGAGTTGCAGGTTTTCTGCTGCTGTCTCTAGAGCATGTGCAGGTACAACTGGAGATACTTTTGCCCCCTTTTTTTGGTGCTAGGAGATAACAAATGACAATCCTGCTGAGAGAAAGGTTCATAAGACCATTTTTATCAATTGGAAATAGAAAATTAAAGTTTGGGTAAAATTTATTGGAAAAATCATAATAAGCTTATTTGATGAAACACTAATTTTACAGGCAATTAGAACACAACTTGGGTTTGGACTGTTGTCTTCAGGCTCATTTACTTTATTTAGAGAAGCACCTTATCTTCATCACATGGTATCTGAGTATCCCCTGAGCAGACTCTAAGTTTTGTTCTGCTAACAGAACCCTTTGGTTTATTAGCAGCTGGAGCAGCTCTTCAGTGCAGGGCTTCTGTGAGCCTCTGCCAAGATGGGTCTGTATGTGACTGGATGTGGAAGGGCCTGGCACTATCACTTCAATATTTTGAGAAAACAGCATTATTTGATGCTAATCTTCACAGTTGCTGCAACAGTAAGGTGGAAGAAAATGATTGATGGCTGGGATTCAGAGCAAGGATAATGATGAATAATGCAAGGAATGTAACTCAGCACTGAGTTAGAATACGGATTTGTCTTTAATGTATTAGAACTCTTACAGAAATGTCCGTTTACTTTTTGGTTATAAACACATTGGGCAATGTCTTCACCACGTATGCTCTCGAGAAGTGCATCTTCAATTTTGTAAAAGAACAAAAGACAGTTGTTTTGTTACATTTATGCTTTGGTGTTTGTGCAGTTATATATCTGAAGGTGTGTATACACAAAAACACCCATATATACACAAAAGAACAAACACAATTTTATGAAACCAAATTTAACTGCATGTTTTTCATCTGTTCCTATTTGTAAAGTATATTGAAGAAAGAAAAACTTTTATGTGCATAATCTAAAGAAAAAGGTTTTGTTCTTTATAATGAAAGAAATTTAACAAGACAGAGTATCTCAATTTCAATCAAAACTTGGGGTTTTTTTCAACCCAAGTTGCAAAAATATAAAGCTCCAGACCTTTATCTCTTACTTGTCTTTGAATGCAGAACATCTGTGTGCCTGGTTTCCTTCTCTTGTCTTTTTTTCATGTTAATATAACTTCACAGCTCCAGGGTCCAGCCTAGGATGGCCCCTCTCCTTCCAGCAAACACACAGCTGCCATTTGAGCTGGAGAAGGGCTGGCACACAGGACAGCATGAGGAATACATGTCCTTTCAAACATGTATTTTTGAAAAATATTTCAAACACTTTTCAAACACCACACTCTGCTCCTCTCTTTCTCTCCTCCATATCTCATCTGGTAAAGTACTTTCTGCATTACAAAAGTTTGCCTCAGTGAAGTGCTTACAAAAATGGGATCATAGAGTCCTAATGTGAGCCATATTTAACTCCACCCTTCACCTCTCTTAAACTCATATTCAGCATAGTCAGTCAAATTACTTTTTAATTGCTCCACATATTTTCCCAACCAAAGAATATTGAAATGTTGCTGGTTGTTCATCGTGACTGGTTCAAAGACATGTGGAGTGGTGAAAAATCAGCACCAAAATAAAGAAGTAAATATAATCCCTCATTTACTTCTGAGTCATAGAAGACCTCATTCAAACCCTCCAGCTACCACTTGACACAACAACCTCCATAGAAAGCTTCACACTGTGGCTTATGTAACCCATTTGCTTTTGATTGGCCTTTTCCAGATGTTACTTTATCTCAGTCTTCTCAGAATTTATCTGAAGAATTTGCTGAGGCTGCACGACAGCTTAAAAAAGAAGCTCCAAGAATCCAGTTTGGCAAAATTGATGTGACACACCAACATGACTTGAGAAAAGAATTTAATATTCAAGCCTTTCCTACTGTGAAATTTTTTGTGAATGGCAGCAGGGAAGCTCCCATAGACTGCAAAGGTAAACTGTCTCATGCACTGATAAGATAATGATCT